CCCCCCCCCCTCCCCCGTTTGAAGTTGTTTGGGGTAACCGGCAGTCAGAATCATAGACGGAGACTCTGGGGGGCAGGGTTATGTTTTATATGTTTGACCCGATGGTTAGGGAGACACGGAGCCCCCTGTGCCTTGGGCTCCCATGCTTGCATCTGCATGGGTTCGTGCATGTCGACACAACTTACGCTCTGATTCATTGAAGCATAGCTACAGTATGTATCTCCACGCGGATCGGCGGCTGGGGTGCAAACTTCTGGTCACCCACCGCACATACATACAGAGGGGAAAACCGCGAATGTAGGCCGTCAAAACGCATGTCGCCAGCCCACGAGCACCCCATGAAGCACGCAGCGGTACGTATGCGGAGCAAGTGACCCAAGAATGGACGAGTCTAGACAGCACTTGTCGCCACCTAACTTTGCTCGAGGCTCGGTTTAAACTTCTTGTGGGGAGTCCAACAACGAAGGTACCTATGTGGGTTTATTGTGGCGTTGTAGGGTATTTTGTAGTCATCCTGTTTATGATCCATCCTTTCAGTTTCCAAACAAATTACGACCGTGACTCTCAGACTGAGGAGCTCCGAGCCAGGGCTACACGAAAGAGTTCTAATGCCGCAGGGCAAAATAAAGGTGAAGCTGTTTTAGAGAAAAGGACCAGGTGTCCTACATTACATACTCAAGAACCAGTGCGTTCTTCACTAGAAATGTAGAACTGCTGGATGCGAACTCCCAACATAGTTGCCACAGTCCCACACGCATGCACAGCAGTAGGTTTCGAGGTTGCCCCGAAGCAAGTCCTTTTCTTGAAAGAAATATATCGCCCAGGTTCCTACAAGTAGAGGTGTGGGTGCGTGTACTCACATGCGTGGAGCAGGAGGTTTTCCAGACGTATATAGACTTACGCTCCAAATCTAGCTTTTGAACGAAGGACGAGAGCTGGCCCCTGTCTACGTCCCGTCACTCATTCCCCCTGCGGGCCTCTCGTATCTAAACTACGGTCGCTCTGAAAAACGGACGGCACACTGCTGTTTCTGTTGTCAGTCAGCAAACATTTCCGGTCTCGAAAGAAAATGTTGCGCATTTGCTGAAAGTGTAATGGGCAACTTAGCTCCCGACACGAACCTATGATTCCGCCTCCAGATGGAGGTGCTCGCAGCCCATGATGACGCTCGTAAGCCATGGTTGTCCTGTTACATGCACCCTCTGGGCGATGCGATCTTTGGGAGGCCCTCTGTACTGTTGCCAGACTGAAGGACTTGATCGACGGCTCCTCTCTCTACAACGTGTGCACGTGGATTGAGTGTTGAAACTTGCTGGGAGAAAAATGACGGGGGCGCTTGCGCGTTGCTGTGGGTGCCGTCCACTGACTGCCAGTCCACTGCTGTCCAAAGATATCACGTGTGCGGCACAAAAGCGGCTGCGCCAAGCAAAGACGCGGAGATCTCGAAGATGTGGGTGGGGTCTCGGCAGAGTGGGGTCGCGTGTACCCCAGCGGGGCTGCACTGCTGTGATGTTGCTTGCTGCTTGAGCAACCCACCCGTCCTGTGTGTCCAACACCAGGCCATTCGGTAGCATGATCACGAGAACCCTGTTGCAGGCGAGACGCGGCACGTCTGCTGTGGTGGGGTTCGGGGTGGGGCTGGGATTGGCGGCGTCGTTGTCTGCTCAACGGCAGCAGCAGGATGCGCCTCACGCCGACTCCGGGAATACTCGATACGAACCCCCGCTCCCGCCGCCGAAGGCTCGAAGTTCCGCCGAGCCGACTCTGCGAGAGGATGTGAGTGTATTCATGTGTTGCAGTGGTGAGTACGGCAGCGGTGGTGGGCAGCTGACACGCTACGACCAGAGTGCAACGCCAGCGCTTTGCATCATGAAGGCTCATTGTGCCGTCGATCTTCTGTGCCAAAAATGCGGCGGAATTACATTCCTACCGCTGCACCTGTAGTCTAGTCTTTGCCGTAAGGCGCATATTGTATCTGATTATCTGATTATTATACATTGCGTACCTATGCATGCATCCTGCTGGATAGTGCCGTTGGTTTTTCTAGTACATCCATACAAAGCTTTTGCAGTAATTTCTGATGCTCGATGAAAACACGGGGGAAGGTATTTTTACAAACTGTCCAAGATAGGTTTTCGAGCGAGACCGGCGTGCGCTCGTTGCACAAACTCGGTACACAAGCGACCACCTTGCCGAGTAGTTACAATGCAGTAGCTTTGCCGTCATCGGTTTCGCTTCTTGGGTACCACTGTTTTATTTCAAAGAGGGCACCATAGCATGGTGACGGAGGGAGAGAAGGTAAGCATCCGGGGGCGGGGGGGGGGGG